TATGTATATTAGCTAAGGCCCCGTCCACACTAGAGCGTTTTCGTTTGAAAACGAATCGAAAAGTATGCGTTTTGCCCTTCTGTCCACACTAATACGCTCGAAAACGCTGAGCGTTTTCATCGAAAACGGATCCTTTTGAAAACGCTGTTGAAAGTGAATCGTTTTGAAAACGATACGGCATCCCGGTCAGTGTGGACAGCGAAAACGATTCCTTTTGAAAACGATGACTTCATCGTTCCCCTTGGTCCTATGGATTTAAGTTTTGTAGTTAAAATATTCTTTGAAATATCGTCTGCTTTGTGGCAAGTCTTTTCCAGATAAAAGCCTGTTAACAGAAGTTCAACTTCATTATCTGCCCATATGAAAGGGTCTTGAGCAGTTTTTTTCTTGTTTTATTGAGTTTTCTTTATCGCAGAAGACATGTAATTTGATCGATATGACCGTATTTGTGTTTTCAACTGTCCACACTGATACGCTTGAATACGCTAGTGTGGACGCAGTTCAATCTATACGTTTTCACACTTATTGAAAACGGATACAAACGAAAACGCTTTAGTAGTGTGGACGGGGCCTAAGGTCCATCCAGTTTCTTGTGGTCCAACACAATGATAGCGACACATGACGTGCGATTGATGATTCAAACAGTTGACTCAAATTCTTTTATTTTATAACATCAAAATTTTCTAATTTCTGTTTGTCTAAATTGTGAATTTCTGTACGGAGTATCATGATCTAGGATTTTGAGTGAAAAATTCGAAGAAAATAAAATGGTTCTAAACTACAGCAATTTTCAATATATAGATATGATTCTCATACTGTCAATTAGACTGTAGCATTTTTGTTTTACCTGTAATTTTATTCCTTCTAAAATACAATAGAAACAAACGGTCTGCTGCTACGGACTGAGTATAGCTGATTAAGGACATGTTCTCTATGACTACAATTGTACATATTTGGTGTGCAACAGGTAGCATTATTTGTTTTTATGGGTACATCGCTAGGAAGGCAGTCAACAGATCTCATCTCCACACCTGCACTCGTTTGCCGAACCCTTCAAGCACAAATACTCGACCATCTGGTGCAACAGCAACGTCATACGGACCATTTATTTGACCAAGGCCTGAACCATAGCTACCTAAAGAACTTATGAACTGACCGTCTTGACTGAAGACTTGCACGCGGTGGCTATTTAGATCACAGACAAGAAGCATTTCTTTACCAAACACAGCAAGTCCACGTACAAAATCAAAGTGACCTTGTTTGTTGCCTTTCATTCCAAACGTGTACAGTAGAACACCATTCTCGTCAAAAACATAAACAATGGGCACATGAAGAAACGATACAAAGTACTTATTGTTGTCATAAACTAATGAGAAAGGTGACCCATGACCATCGTCAGGAACATCCAGTTTGATGTCATGAAGGTGATCATAACTGTGCTTATCAAAGCACTTTATAAATGTCTCTTTAGTACTGTAATTGTAACACAAACACGCGATCGTTTGATTGGCTGTACACATTCTTAATACTATTCTTTCAGGTAGTTTGATAAGAGTTCTTCTGTAGTTACCCGCATCGATGTCAAATTCCTTGATACAGCCACAATCACCTAGATTATCGGTGATGACTATTTTGTCCTCATTGAAGATGACTCCCAATGGACCTCTCAGCTGACCATCTCCTGATCCTGCACCACCAATGTCTCGCAAATACTCTCCATCAGCATTGAACAACACAACACGGAAATCCTTGATAAAATCATTATTAACCACAGCAATGTCGCCACTGTCACTTACATCAAGTGCAATACTGGGATTGGACATTCTCTCTTCGACATCAATTATCTTCAAGGGTTTAAATTCTGCTTGGGCATCAATTGTCTCAATGTTCCGTGGTGAGTTTGTTATTTGTTTTCCTCCAATACTCACCGCAACTTTGTAAAGTGAAGGTTTATCTGCTTTGTACTTCACTGCAATTCTTCCAGTTTCAGTTTCCATCACTTCTTTCTCAACATCATTGCCATCAACATCTTGGATTTGTACATCAATTATATCTTCCCTGGTATGGCATATATCCCCTTGTGAATTTCTTGTCACAATCGCAAATTCATTGATAAAACCACATCTGACCTCACTTAGAGATTCGATAGAACAACGGGACGGATCTGTCACGGTTTCCACTACCTCCCCGAGTTTCAAATTTCGCATCAAGGGGATGACTTCCGGGTTTTGAATATAACATGTGGTTAAGTTTCGCTTCACCGGTTTGGTCGATAAGACAGACTTGTTCTGCGCTGTAGCTTTACAAATTTCTAGTAAATTTTCGTAGCTTTCCAAAATGAATTTTTCTAAGTTTTTCTCTTCCATTGTTTCACACTGATATTTCAGTTCAGTGACTTGTTGAATGTTGGCGTTGATCTGCTTTTTCTCATCTTCATTTGCTGTTGTTTGTTCTGCAAGGAGGCCGTCCAAGGTAGCAATCAAAGCGTTTTGGCGGTCTTGTAGAATCTTCATCATAGCTTGTATGTCATTTTGTACTTTTGCCTTTGCTGTGTCAACCTCGCTTTGAATCCTTATCATATTTTCAATGGACAGATCAAACTCTTTCTTGTAACTGATGAGCAGCTCGTTGAGTTGATCCTTTTCTTTTCTGATAAGGTTTTTAGCATCTTCAGCTGCCTCCTCGATGGTGACCCTGTCATGGCTGCCGTGTGATGTGGTACCACATTTTTGACAAATACACTTCCTGCACGTTATGCAGTAGTAATCGAGACGGCATTTCTCGTGAAATTTCTCATTGCAAATGGCTTGATTGTTGATGTAGCTGTTGACATTTTGTGTCTTGAATTCACTCCATAGCGTTGCTTGATGGGTTTTGATCAATGGCTTTACTGTTTTGTGTTGGTTGATGCATTCATTACAAATCATTCCTTCACATTGAGCACAAAATCCAACCAATACGCWTCGTTTGTTGCAACTTACACACTCTGGAAGCTGCTGTTGGTTGTGTTCGTCAGTCTTGGTTTTCATGACGTTGAAAAGCTGAAGCAGCGAGTTGTACGTAAACGAAGACGGAAGCTTCGAGATGTCGTCTTCTTCGATCTTGACTACTGCTCTACAAGTTGGACATCTTAGCCTCTTCATTTCTCTCTGACAAGCTTCGTTCCAACTTTTGATGCATTCAAAGCAGAAAGTATGTAGACACGGTAGTGTCCTTGGATCAGTGAAGATATCGTTACAAATAGCACAAGTTAACTGTGCTTCCAAGTCGTCAGTAAAAGTGTTAATTCCCGCCATGTTGGTAAGACAAACTTGACAGATCACGAGACAAACGATATCTTTGCTCAGCTCTTCCAAAAATATCAAATGATACTGATTGCCATGGAAATATTGACAGTCGAGGTCAAACGTACATCACTATGAAGTAAAACTCAGACACTAAAATATTTTCATATAAATTCACAACAAGTCACGAGAAATACTTGACCTGTACGCTTGGTTTTTTCTTAGCTTTCCATTTTCATTTTTTTTTTATTTTTTATTTTTTAAAGTTTCAGTGTTATTGAGTTTGCTAGTTTGTTTCCACATTCATATTAAACATTTTCTCTTTACTCGCATTGTAAGGTTTACATGGTTTTTGTTGAATTTTTAGTATTTTCTGATTTTATGGAGTCTGTATAATTTATTCTGAGGTCTCTCCAATTACCAAATAAAATGGTTTTCGTTGGACGTCATTTATTAAAAATCAACTTTCTTTTGGCAAAACTGACAATAAAATAAAAGCAAAGAAAAAACAATAAGAAACAAAATGAATTTTCATAATATAAGAATTAAATTGACTGCTAAAGAAAATTTCTCAAAAGAGTAAAACGTGATTGTCGGTATAATGGTTTTACCGTTCAGAATGTTATTTTGTAGAAACACGTTGTTCTGTATTGAAAAAAGTACAAAATGTTGTGAGCCATGAAACATTAAAAATGTTTGGTCATGCAACGTACTATTGTATGACGTATTTCTTTATGTATTGCAAAGTCCTATACTAAAGGGTTATTAACCGAGCGCGAGGTCTGTACGGAAAAATATCGGACCGAGGTCTCGACAGTACGGACCGAGGCCGTAGGCCGAGGTCCGTACATTAGAGACCGAGGTCCGATATTTTTCCGTACAGACCGAGCAAACGAGGTTAATAACACTTTTATTATATGACTTTTTTCTACATCGGAAAAGCAAACTGTAAAC